GACCAGCTTCCTCATCTTAGAACAGAGATAATTGAAAAATCTCCCATCTGTCCTGTCTTCTACAGCTTTATTAACACTCCTTTCAGTCAGACCCTAATCATCTCTCATGTGGAGTCGCAAATACCCCCACCTGCTCTCTGTGTGCAACCGGACTCTTGCATTCTGATTTCCATTCTGTCCTCAGAATGACTTTTCTAACCTGCAAATCTGACCATGTCACTACCTGGTTCAACTATTAAATTGTTCTTGCTCCCCTAAAGGGTCAAGTCTGAACTTGTCTTTAACATGGCACATCAGCCCGTCCACGGTTAGCTCTCTACCCACCTCTAAACTAATCTGTGCTGTAGTCACACTGAACGGGAATAAAAAGCCCCAATATACTTTCTCATTTTTTTGTACCTTTGTGTGTGTTCCTTCCATCCATAGTGCTCCTTCTGTCCCTTTCCACTTAATTAAATCATACTCATTCCTCGAGATTTAGCTCAGGTATAATTACCTACTACCACTGTCCCTTAGCATCTTCATGCCGGAACTGGGTGGCTTTTGGTATCTCTAGCAGAACGGAAATAGGGAAGACGTGTATTAACACATCACAAAATCCTTACCAAGTAAAACGTGCTCAGTGAATGCTTGATATTCTTTCTACAGTGTGTAAATCCCTGCTTTTTTTTGTTCCCTTACTACGAGCATTAAATGTTTGTGAAGCTTCATTCACACAGCTACAGTAAATTTGGGAGGAGATAAGGAAAGGTCATTGTAATACAATTTTTTTATAAATACTGTCTTGAACCAGTGTTTTGTTGTTGTTTTTTTTTCCACTGAAAGCTTTTATTTATCTATTTTTTCGTTTTTCTTTTTAGCAGCAGAAAATCAAAGTTTAGAAAAATGCACATGGGAAATTCACATAGACTTGACAATTCCATGAAAATTCCAAAGACATTGAGGAAGAATTGAGTATATAAGACATTTTTGGACACAGGAGAAAGGAGGGACTGGGTATTAGATTTCAGAAATTAGAGCGGGTGGTTCAGAGTTAGCATTCAACATAGTTTGCATTAGTCTCAGAAACTCTCGGTTCTCCTTCAGTCAGTTTGCTGAGCCCCCACCCCAACCACCGCCCTCACCGGCTTCCACAGCCCAGAGCTCAGCACCAGAGAGCTAGGGAAGCCCCTGTGCCAGGACCCCGGGCACGCGTCCCCTTCAGCCGACCCACAGGGAGAATGGGGGGCCTGGGTAGCCCCTCTCTCACTTGCCATGACAGCTGCCCCTCGTTACCCTGTTCCTGGTGCCACTCCCAGTGTGGCAGCCTCGTCACGTTCCAAGTCTAAGCCACAAAGAGTTCTGCCTCCCACCTGCCCAAGATTCGTTTGTCTACTTCACCATCCAGATAATCTTCACATTTTATAAAAACACAATGTAATCCACAGTGTCAGTTCTTAGAATGATCTTGGTGAAGGACTCCCAGTCAGAATTGAGTACAGGTTCACAGATTTAGTAAAAATATACATAAATAAAATTCTGTTTCCTATAGTAAGTGGTGATGGATAAAGGTAACTCAACTAGATATATTCATTGGAAAATCATATTCTTTTCGAGTGCTCAATCAGAAATGTTCAAAATAATTTAAACATGAATTGCACTCATTATTTAATGAACCCAAGGGCACACTTTATTGTGGTCTTTCATGCAATTTATAAGAAGACTGAATAGCTCAAAATCTCTTATTTGCAAAACTATAAAGTATTTAAACCATGTCTATAATCATAAATGAATTAGAGTATTGTTGGTAAAGTTAATAAAAATATTTTTAGGTCAAAATTATCAGTGAAAGAAGACATGTGCAGGTAACTAAGTAAAAATGCATTAAATCTCGGACTTCCATTAACACAGACCTTCACCCTGTTTTTTTAAATAACTGAATAAGCAGTGCAGTGAAATCCACTGTCTATCAAGGTGGGCTCATTATCAACCCGCTTATAAATAATTTTTGATGATTGTTAATGCAGATTATTGGGCCCTTTTAAAAGTAGAACTCAAAATCTGCATTTTTAATCTGCATAATTCCCCTTCAAATAGATTTTCTTGCACTCTGAACTTTGTGTGTCTTCCTAAAATAATGTTGGGTGGGGGGACGATACTCTGTGTGTCCTCTTAGTCAATGTACCTTTCATGAATTCCCAAATCGATTTAATTCACAGATTCTCACAGTCCCTGCCTTCTCCCCGAGCAACCCTAGAGATACTGGAAATAGAGATTTTCCCAGTCAAACCATCTTACTGGCAGCCCAGCACGAGATTCCCTGAAAAGAATATGCATAATGAAGAGAAATAATTAAGACAACTCCCGTTATTGAATTATATTCAATGGGACAGGTTAGGTGTTTTTCATACATCATGTTATTTTTAAAACTCTAAGAAGTATTACAGATAATACTCTTCTTTAGTACTTGGAGAAACTCAGGCTGATAGAGGACAAGTAATTTGTTCAAGGTCACACAACAGTTGCCGTTGGAGCCTGGGTTAGAACACAGGTTTTTGCTTCAAAACTCATGCTTTTGCCATGTTACCTTTGATGGTAAAACATCAAAGCAGTCATTAGTGGGAAAAAGAAAATGAAAACATATTCCCATGTTGCCAAAATCCTCAGTTGCTTGCCCAGTAGTGAATCTGGTAGGACTCTCCCACTGTCTTCTCTCCACATTCTCTCTGCTTCTTCGGTCTCAGCTCGGTCCTGGCAGGTCCCGTGGTGAATTCTCCCAGCTCTGGTACGTCATCAGCCATGGTATTGAGTAGTCCCTGGGTTACAGCAAAAGGAGACATACGATGTCCTACCTTACGTTCTATTTTATGATACAGGAGCCCGTGACCCACATGGCTATTCCAATGGCATCAGTTTACTATATTAATTTAAAGTTAACTACACTATTTAATGTATAGACATAGACAATCCTATTTGGCAGCACTGCCTGAATGCAGAGGTAAAAGGAAGTTTTATATTTGAGGGGTTGGTACTTTTGGTGCAGAAACAAAAACTTTTTATATATTGACAAACTTATTTTGATAAATACTTAAAAAATCTAAGCCACTGCTTTTTATGTTTCTCCTTTTAATTATATCTTTCAACCCATTAAAAGGCGTAGATTATAAAGTGTTTTTAAAGTACTGATGGTCATAATCTGCTTATCACACAGATAAGACATTTCTGAATGTACAAGTTGTAAAGGGAAAATAGGATTTTTTCATTACACACAGGTTTCCATGAAATTGATTTTTACCTTTACAACCAGACAGATCCCAGCAGTTAGGACTATCAGGGTGACGTTCTCTGTGGTGTTTCTACACGTCATGTGATGGCAGGTGTCCAGGACTCTCAGTGTCCAGGGCATCTGTGTAGCCAACAGCCTTGGAAGACAGAGCTCCCTCCAGGGCAGGGGGTGGATTTGTTTCCTGAGCAGGTTCAAGATAACATCTCTCTCTGGGAAAGGTTGGTCAGGTTTGCTGGCTTCTTCAGGGATTGGGGAGTTCCTGTGCCTGTGGTCGCTGAGCTGTGACATGAACCCACAATGTGTGCACCCACGGCCCACTCCCCATGTCCCCCTTGGGTCTGGTCTTGGGGTCAGGGGAACTCATGCTGCCTGCTGGGCCCTGACTCACGTTGTGTGTACACCAGCGTCTGTGTCAGTCAGCAGCCTCCACGACACTGTGACCGGCTCCCATGTGGGCTTGGAAGCTGGGTGAAATCTCAGACCCCACAGAGCTCTTGAGATAATAAGACAAATTAGAGTTGGTAGGTGTGGATGCAAAAAGGGGTTCTATGGAAAATAACCTCCCAGGGTGACCTGGTCATAAATTCCTTCCCGGGCAGGTCCTGGTGGGGTATCACAATCCAGACATATAACCTTTTTATAAAAAGATTTATGTTTGCCTTAAGCAAGGTCTGTCCATTGTTCCTGTGCATCTAGGTTAACACACCGTTGAAATGTGGAAACCCACCCTCAGGAGAGCCCACAGTTTGGTAACTGTCCTGTAATCCACTCCTCCCTTGCTTTCTCCCACCTTCCTGTAATCTTCCCTGTGTAATTTAAAATGTATAAATGAACCTGCAGACTGTCATTATGAGAAGCACTTTTTTCAGTCTGCTGAGATCTTGCTTCCAGGCGTATCGTCTGTTTGGCTCAAATATGTTTTTATAAAATTCTCTGGGGTTGAATGTCCTTATGTCTAAGTAGACGTGTCCTGAGAAGTGGGGTACGCCCCAGAGTGGGGGACAGGCAGAGTGGTCAAAGGTGGGGACTGAAGGTGCGGGAGGTGGAGATGTCTGGGAGCAAAACACATCCCTTTATTTTGTACCAACCCCTAGTCCACTTCATTTTTGTCCCATTAAATTTAGACCTCGGTGTAGATGATACGGGTTCCTACTGATCTTGGTCAGAAACAGGAACCGAAGACCCAGGTTCTTCCGCATAGAAGCGATGCCTAGTCAGCTCTGTGGTCTTCACCCAGTGTGTGCTCCCCGTGGTCAGCTCTAAGGATCCTCACTGACAGTCATCCCACTGACTGGCGGGACTGCCCCCTCGTCCTGAAGACTCCACCCCCTGGTCTTGCTGTCCCTCCTCAATCAGCAGAGAAAGCTTTCGGTCCAATGGGGATCAACGCTGGTCTGTCTCACACCCCTCCTCCCCCAACCTTGCCCCACCCCCAGGGCCCCCCAACCTTGTGGGTCCCCCACCTTCGTGCTCCCCACCACTGTATCCTCCCCACCTCCAGGGCCCCCCACCCCCTGCATGCACACCCTGCTGTGTCAGGTGTACAATGTGCCCAGAACAATGAGGCACGTGCTTCCCAGAAAGCAGAGAAAACCAGTGAAGAGCTGTGACTGAGGGACATACACCACTTATTGGTGACCACATGGCACATCTTTATTGGGGATCACAGAGCACATCTTTATTGGGGATCACAGAGCACATCTTTTTGGGGCACACGGCACACCTCTATTGGGGATTACATGGCGTACTCCTCGGTCCACTTGCGGGCCTGGAGGTCAAACTTGGGCTTATCCTCCAGGAACATGTTTGCAATTTCTGGATCCAGGATGTCGTCTGGGCTGGGGTCCGCCAGCATGGCGCAGATGGCCAGCAGCATCTGGGAGATGGTGCACGTGGGCGCCCACTTGGAGGTCAGCAGGTCCAGCCCGATGCACCCACTTTCATTTACGTTCGGGTGGTAAATGGGGGTGCTGAACTGGACCTGTGGTGGTTTCAGGGGGTAAGTACTTGGAAACACAATATCTAGGAAAAAGACCCCCCCCTCGTAGGGGCTGCCCTGGGGCCCTATGACCACCGCCTGCCATGTGAGGATGTCTTCCTCCAGGGGCCCCGCGGAGCACAGCTCGGGGGGGTGTCGAGAAAGGTCGAGGAACTCCTTCTGCAGGCGTCTCACGGCCAGAGACAGTGCCATGGCCGACCCTTGTCCGAGGTCCTGAGACAGAAAGTGGGGACCAGGTCAGGGGACAGGTGGGTCAGGTCGGGTGGGGTGGAGAGGGGTCAGGGGTGATGGGGGCAGGGCCGGTGACGGAGACAGGGCCAGTGACTGGGGACAGGGCCTGTGGTGGGGGAGGCTGAGGAAGGAGCAATGGGACCGGCTGGACTGATGGCTCCTGGTCATCTGTGTCCTGCACCCTGCTGGCTCCATTCCCTCTGCCTCCACAACTGCCACCACCTCCCGGCTGTCCTCACCTGAAGACTCTGCTGCTCAGCACCACCTGCTGCTGCCGCTCGGCCCTGCCGTCCACACTGGGGTGCCTGCCGACAGTAGGAGATCTGCTCTGTGAGCTCACAGTGTCCACCTGATGATGTCACCAAGTAAAGGGAGGAGGCAGAGGCTGGGTCAAACGGTGGCAGGAATGAGGTCATAGTGGCACGGAGGGTAATGAACGATGGTGGCGAGTGGGATTTATAATGGCAGGATAATGCAAGATGGTGGAGGGCGGGAGGCACCATGGAGGGGTGGAGGGGGCACCATGGGGGGTGGAGGGGGCACCATGGGGGGGAATAGAGAAGGGTGCCAGGTGGGAGAAAATATTCTGAGTAATGGAGGGAGGTGCAGGGCAAGGGAGACCATGGCCTGTAATGGAGGGGGTGGCGGGTGGGAGGGAACATGGAGGGCAATGGAGGGGAGTGCAGGGCAGCAGGGAACATGCTGGGTAATAGAAGGTGGTGGAGGGCACGAGGGGGGCACCCCTGAGGGAAATGGATGGGGGTGGGGGAAGAGAAAAACCCTGGAGGGAAATAGAAACGGGTGCAGGGCAGGAGGAATGAAGACAGTGCAAGAGGGCGGAGGGGGCTCTCACAGCGGACGGCAGAACACGGTGGAGGGCAGGAGGAACCGTGGTGGGTAATGGGGAGGGTGGAGGTCAGGGGGAACCGTGGTGGGTAATGGGGAGGGTGGAGGTCAGGGGGAACCGTGGTGGGTAATGGGGAGGGTGGAGGTCAGGGGGAACCGTGGTGGGTAATGGGGAGGGTGGAGGTCAGGGGGAACCGTGGTGGGTAATGGGGAGGGTGGAGGGCAGGGGGAACCGAGGCGGTGATGGGGAGGGTGGGGGGCAGGGGGAACCGAGGCGGTGATGGGGAGGGTGGGGGGCAGGAGGGGGACACTGTGGAGGGAACAGAGAAGGGTGCGAAGCGGGAGGGAACATGGTGGGTAATGGCGGGAGAGGCAGGGCCTGAGGCCCAGGGCTGGTAATGGAGGGGCCCGGAGCACAGGAGGGAACGAGGAGGGGAGTGCAGGGCGGCAGGGAACGTGCTGGGTAATGGAAGGTGGTGGAGGGCACGAGGGGGGCACCCCTGAGGCGGATGGACAGGGATGCAGGGACACAGGGCCGCAGGGGAGCGGGCGTGCAGGGGCGGTGTCATGGCGGATGGCGGAAGATGGCGGAGGGCGGGACAGCACACGGAGGGGGACGGAGCGCAGTGCAGGGCGGACACCGGGAAGGGGGTGAGTGGCGACTGGGGTGGAAGGTGGGGGGAACCCCGGCCCCCTGGCTCACCCACTGCTGTGCTGTGAGGCTGACAGAGTTGAACCACACGCACTGCCACCGCCGAGTTACCCGAATAACCGCGGGCGGGTCTGCGGTCCCTGCACCCCGTCACCCGGATGTACCTGCCGCTCACCTTTGACCCCGGAACTTCACACCGAGTTCTGCCCCTGTCGTCTGGCTCCGCGCTCTGTGGACACATATGCACCTGAGAGCAAGCCCCGCACCTCGTGGCCCTTTATAGACAGCGCCCCCCACCGTGATTGTACACCAGCAACCACACCCTAGGGTTGGCTCTAGTCATCAGTAACCATTCTCAACGTGTGTCAGTAGTGAAGCAGTACATCCTCGTGTACTTGTGCGAATCTTCCTGTCTTGATCAGTTCACCAAAAATCTTTTTGCTTCACGATTGCCAAATTTGCCCATGCTTTTTCCTGAGACTTTCAGTGCGTACTTTTTCTTTCATTGTTTTATCGTATTGTAATCTTCAAAAACCTGACATGACTATTAAACTCAAAATGTGTAACACCAACAATAAGCACAATTCAATGGAAATGCCAGTAGGAACAGCTTTAAACTAGTTTACAGAAGCATAGTCATTGAAGACTGCTCTCTGACACACACACACACACACACACACACAAATATCACAACACCAACGGATTGTAAATTACATTCTAATTTCTGGGAGAAGAGAATATGGTGAAAAATCTGCATCTCCAAATACAAAAATATTAAGATATTTCATTTTTTGTCAAATAAAATAAGGCATATACATAGAATAGAGCCATTCATTTTGAATGTACGTAAAAGCTTTCAAAATCTTTGTTTATCTTTAATTATTGCACAATTACCATTAAAAATATAGGCAGACTTCAAGTTCTTACTTCAATATACAAAGAGCTTTACTCTCATCCTGAAAACAAGAAAAAAGGATGAGGAAAAAAAACCCCTGAATATTAATAATTCTTCAGTCTGTCAGGGAAAAAAACGAAGTCATGGGGCGAGCCAGTGACCCCAAAACTGAAGAAACGTGAACACAGAGAATCACAGGTTACAGGAAGCCGACACCACTGATGCAGCCAGCAACACATAGGAACACTTAAAGGATAATTTAAAAAATTACTGAAATTTTAGCAGGGACTAGCTTGAGATATATAAATTCCTGGGAGCCCAATTTTGGGAGGAGGGGTAAAATATTTATGAGACTTACATATACAGGCCCCTACTAGATTCTCAAGGTGAAAGTCAGAGAAAAGTCACCTTGTGCTTCTACCAAAGAAAGGGGAAGTAGCCATTTAAAATACGTAAACAGTGTTCTGTTCTGCCTGCCCTTGGGGAGAACTATTTTACCTGAGCCAAACTGACCTGTGGGAAGGGAAATAACCAATGCTACAGCCACTAGCTTTCCTGTCTTAGGTAAGGGAGGAAAGACTTGAGAACGTTATAAAAACAGGGTATACATTTACTGAAAGAATAATACTTCCCCATAACATTAGAGAAAGCTTTCCTACCATGACACACATCACCATAACATCAATAAAGTTGCTGTATAATAACAGCAGTTAACAGCTGAAGAGGAAGGTTTTAGACTATTAAAGAATCAGTCTCTAAGAAAATCCCAAACAGCAGTGTGAACAAAAACAAGGACATGACAGAAAAATTTAACCTTTGACACCTAGAGCTTCAATAAACAATAAACATGACCCAAGTCCTAGAGAGATTTAAAAAAAAAAAAAAAAAATCCCACTAAAAGCCTATTTACCTCAGTTCCTTTTGCCCAATGTGTCATGTACAGCTTTAAACAACAACAAAAATAATGTCATGCTAAAAGGAAAAGAAACAAATCTGAGGAAACAAAGCATCAGAATCAGACTTAGATAAAGCAGATTTTGAAATAACTATGTTCATTATGCAGAGATTCTAATGGAAACAGTAGACAACATGCAAAAACATCTGAGTAATGTAAACAGAGATAGAAACTCTAAACATAATTAAAAGGAAATAGCTAGAAATAAAATACTATAAGAGAAATGAAGGATGCTTTTGATGGGCACATCAGTAGACTGGACACAGCCTAGGAAAAAAATCATTGAACTTAATGATATGTCAGTAGAAATTTACCAAATAAAATAACAAACAGAAAAATATAATTTAAAAATAGGATAAAATATCCAAAAATTATAGGGATAAGTGCAAAATGTAAAACATATACATAATAGAAGAACCAGGAGAAAGAAAAAAAAGAGAAAGACAAAACATAATTGAAGAAATAACAGATGAGAATTGTGAAGGATTTCAGGAAGTTTAGAAAATAACAGTCAGGAAAAAAACACCCAAAATATCTACACCTAAGCATATCATATTCAAGATAAAAAAAAAAAAAAAAAAGACAGAAAAAGATAAACTCATGAAGAAAGCCAGAGAAAGGAAAAACAGTACTCATAAAGAAACAGCCCTGGCCGGTTTGGCTCAGCGCTTAGAGCGTTGGCCTGCAGACCAGAGAGTCCCAGGTTTGGTTCCTGCTAAGGGCACATACTTTGGTTGCAATTTGTCCCTGTCCCCGGTTGAGGTCGTGTGTGTGGCAGCCAGTGCATGTGTCTCTCTAATGTCAATGTTTTTCTCTATCTCTTCCTTCCTCTCTCCCTCCTGCTCTATCTGAAGATAAGTGCAGAAATGTCCTTGGGTGAGGATAAAAAAGAAAAGAGAAAAGAGAGAAGAGAAGAGAAGAGAAGAGAAGAGAAGAGAAGAGAAGAGAAGAGAAGAGAAGAGAAGAGAAGAGAAGAGAAGAGAAGAGAAGAGAAGAGAAGAGAAGAGAAGAGAAGAGAAACAATTGGACATCTCTTCAGATATCACACCAGAACAGAATGCAGTGAAATGTTTAAAATGTTGACGAAAATAAATACCAAACTAGATTTCTATATCCAGAAATCATTCAAAAGTAAATGAGAAACAAAGGTTTTCTTAAAACAAACAAACAAAACAAAACAGAGAGAGATTCATCAGAACTAAAAGAAGTGTGAAAAGTAGTTCTTCACAGAGAAGGAAAATAATATAGGTCAGAAACTTGAATCTACATAAAGAAAGGGAAAGGGGTTGCAGAAAGTATAAATGAAGGTAAAATACAATATTTTCTTTTTTTTCAAATGTTTTTATTGATTTTTTTAGATAGAGAGAAAGGGAGAGAGAGAGAGAAACATCAATGTGAGAGAAAAACATTGATCGGCTGCCTCCTGCACACCCCCTACCAGGGATCAAACCTGTAACCTGGTCATGTGCCCTGACTTGGACCTCTCAGTCCATGAGACTGATGCTCAATCCACTGAGCCACACTGGCCAGGCTAAAAGATAAACCAAATTCACAAACCTTTACCTGGACTAACTGAGAAAAGAAAGAGAGAGGACACAAATTTAACAAAAAATCAGAAATGAGAAGTGAGACATTACAACTACTACTACAGAAATATAAAGGATTATGAGATTGCTATGAACAATTATATGCCAAATATTGAATAACCTAGAAGAAATTGATAAATTCCTAGAACTGTGCAACCTACCAACAGTGAATCAAGAAGAAATAAAACATCTGAACAGATCAGTAATGAGTGAGGAGATTGAATTCTTAATTAAAACAAAAAACCTCAAACACAGAAAAACTGATGACCAAAGGACTTCACTGGAAAATGTTAAACTTTTAAAGAAAAATCAATGTCAATTCTTTTCAAACTCATTTATATAATTAAAGAAGAGCAAAAGCTTTCAAAGCATTTGAAAGGCAGCATGACCCTGATATCAAATTCAAACAAAGACACTCTATAAGAAAACTACAGACCAATAACCCCAATGACAATAGATGCAAAAATTCTCAACAAAATATTAGCAAACTAAATTAAACAACACAACAAAAGGATTGTATACCATGACCAAATCAGATTTATCATTGAGATGCAAGGATGGTTCAACATATGGGAATCCATAAATTAGATACACTACATTAATAGAATAAAAGGTAAAAATCATATGATGCTTTCAATATATGGAGAAAAAGCATTTGACAAAATACAATATCCTTTCATTATAAAAACTATCAGCAAATTGGGCATAGAAGAACACACCTCACCATAATTAAGTCCACACATGACAAACCCACAGTTAACATTACATTCAATGAAAAGTTAAAAAGTTGTGAGAAACAAGATAAGGGTGCCTACTCTTACCACTCTTGTATAGCATCATACACTGAAAGTCCTAGTAAGAACAATTAGGTATACAAAAATAAAGACATTCAAATTAGAAAGAAAGAAGTGACATTGTCATTATTTGCAGGTAACATGATACTTTACCAAAGACCTGTTGGAAATACTTACCAAATTAAGTCAAGTTGCCGAAATAAAATCAACACACATAAGTCAGTTGCCTGTCTATATACTAACAATAAAACATCCAAAAAAGAAATAAAGAAAACTATCCCATTTACAGTAACATAACAAAAAATAAATAAATAAATAAATAAATAAATAAATAAATGAAATGGGAATAAATTTAACCATGAAAGTGAAAGTTTTGTATGCTGAAAACTTCAAGACTTTGATGAAACCATTTGAAGAAGATACAGACAAATGGAACAATAGCCCATGTTCATGATCAGAAAATTTAATTTGGTAATTTATTTAATGTTGTTAAAATATTCATACTACCCAAGGCTATCTGTGAGATTCAATACAATCTCTGTCAAAATTTCATTGATGTTTTTCATGGAAATAGAAAAAACAATCTTAAATTTGTGTGGAAACATAAATGACTTTAAATAGCCAAAGCATTTCTGATGAAGAACAAGCTGGAGGCATCATACTTAAAATTGTACTGCAAAGATATAGAAATCAAAACAGTATGGTACTGATAGCAAAGTAGACACATGGACCCACGGAACAAACTTAAGAGCCCAGAAATAAGCCATCATGTATAGGATCAGTCAATATTTGACAAAGGTTCCAAGAATACTCAATGGGAAAAGTATAGTCTCTTCAATATATGATGTTAGAAAAACTGAATAACCACATGCAGAAGAATTAAATTGAACTCTTACCTTATACCACTCACAAAAATTAAACTGAAGTGGATTAAAGTCTTAACCTATAGAACACCCAGAGGAAAACATTGGCAGTAATCTCCTTGACATTGGTCTTGGCAA